AAGGCTTGGAGCAATTAAGTATAAATGCGTTGGGGTAAGCGGGCTTAGTTTTGTACTCCGTAATAGCTTTCATACTCAAGATGAAGTTCGTATGAATCGGTGCAAAGGGCCACATAAAATAGTGGGTTAATATTTTTTTGTATACTATTACAATTTAATATCTGTTTGAGTAAATTTCATAATTAATTCTTTATAACATGAGAATTTATTTTATAAATATCTTTTCACAAATAGTCAATTTTTATCTTCTATCATATTGGTGTTAATTTGAGGACTAAAAGTATAATTTCACAAGGGAAAAAGACCAAAGTAAGACTAAAACATTGAAGATATACCAAAATAGGACTTCCATATTTTTATTCCCGAAATAAGACTGACATTACCAAACATGGTCATATACATTACCAAAAACGTATAGTAATGTGCACATGTACACTGTCACATTACCACAATGCAAAGTCACATTATCACAGTGCAAAGTCCTATTTCGGGAAAAAACATGAAAGTCCTATTTTGGTACTTTTCTCTATGTTCTAGTCCTATTTAGGGTGATTTCTAATTTCTCACAATGATAATGTACCCTTCTTGACATACACAATTCCAAAGGTCCTTTCTAATTTAACGTTTGTGAATTGCAGTCGCTTTCTACTAAGACCATAGTCTACAAATATGGTCTTTCGTCGGAATCCTAGTCCACAATCATAATCATTATTTTTATGTTATCCGTTTAGCCAATCTCAGAATACGTCACTGGATATAAGATTGACGTCAATTTATTTTTTTTTAGTGTTTAAATTAACACCAACATGACAGAAGATTAAAAAAGACTATTTGAGAGTATTATTTAATAATAAAGGACTAAATATAATAACCTCCATATTATAAAGAACCAATTATGATATTTCTTTTCAATCGATTATTGAAGTTGAGAGAATTACTCTATCATTGGAATTCAAACTTGTGACTTCACAAGAACCATACTGATGGACAATAAATCCACCAGATGATCCGATTCAGAAGAACGAATCGTAAGAACAAGAAATAAGAACAAGAGCTCGAGAATTGGGTGTGTATTATTAGCTTAATTTAGCTTGAGTTCTCCCCTTTCGAGTCCCCTCTATTTATACATGGGTTCTATACAGTTAAGGTAATACATAATCAAGGGAGTCTATCCCGTCAATGGCGCGATCCTCTTTTTCTGGCTTCGTCCCCGCCATTCAGCTCCGTCTTCTTTTCTGGATTGACTCTGCCAGCTGCTCTTGGGCTGGAGTTGACCGGGCTGAGCCTCATGGGCCGGCCCAGGCATTGGTATTTCCGGTGCGCCTGACCCGAAGTTTATTAAGTGGTTCAAATTGGCCACCCGTTGGATATCGGCCCATCACATACAGAGCCCGCCCTAGGAGTAGAAATAGGGAGTGGCCGTCTAGGACCTATTTCAAAAGAAGGCTTAAACTTTAATTTTTTTTCCTTAATTGTTATAGTAATATACAGTTGTTAAAAGTAATCAATTTAATTTTCAAGCGACACTCAATCATTTAAATCCATCAAGTGATATTACTCCTTTTTAAATTACTTGAATATTTTGTCTATTTAACTTATTTTGTATGCCTAAAAACATTTGGGCAGAAGAGTTCTTGACAAGTTTATCTCAACTATTTGAATTTTTTTATCTGAAAAAACACAGAGAAGCTTGATAATAAATCAGGAGCATAAAAAAGTTCTTATTGCATTGCATTTGCATAATTCAACACTACTCTTTCTTAGCTCAGACCTAGCTAGCTTGCTCATTGTCTACTACTTGCCATTGAAGATTGATGAGGAGCCCCAATGCAGACGCAATAGCCTCCCATGCACACTGCTGGATAGTTCTTACCACCTATTATGCAGTCTTCTGGGGGACACATCTGATCATAGTCACATGGCCTCCGTGTTGTTTGTCCGTTCACCCGCGACACCAATAGAGTGTCTGTTGAAAACATAAATATAATATTTTAAAACTATGTTTTATTAACAAAAAAGAAAGAAGAAAGATTTTATAGAACGAGGGAGTATTTATTAATGGTGTTTTGAAATTTGACAAGAACAAGTCAAATGAGACATTTTTGGGACTGAGGAAACATATACAAATTAAATTAGATATTTCAGAACAAAAATAATTTGATTAACACGAGCCATTCTAACTCCGTATTACTCTTTTCATCTAAAAAACAATGTCACTTTGAAAAATGATGTTTAATTGAAATTATTTTAATTCAATTTATCTCAAATTGATGTAGCGAAAAAAGTAAAATTTGAATATTAAAATATTACATTAAAGATTTAAAACTAAGAGGTAGGTATCATGATTATTATATTCCGTAATGCTATATTACATGAAAATAAGAAAAAGGAAAAAATTGTCCTTGAAATTAGGGCTGCCAACGGATAGTCGAAAATTCGATTACCGTCCGCATCTGTATCCGTTTAAGGAGGAAATATCCGCATCCGTTTTAAACGGATATTATCTGTATCCGAATTCGACATCCGAAAAAAATAAATGGATACGAATTTGGTAATGACACATCCAATCCGATTAATATCCGTTACACCTCTAATTGAAATATTAGGGCTATAGAGTTTTTAGGAGGGGAATGTACTTTCAATATCTATAGCTAAGTTTTTTAATTGAAATCAGGATGGAGGGGTCCAATATTCACCAACCTGAAGCATAAAGCAAGATGAGCAAAACGGTGACATACAATGCCTTCGACATACCGAAAGTATTATTATCCGAAAATAAATATGACTGACGTTTTTCTCTCCTCTCTTCTTTAATGGGTGCACATATACATGACATATTTTCACACACACATATATATATATACTTTTACATTCCCTAAAAAAGCAAGTAATCGTCTACTAAGGAAAACCTTATTTTAATTTGCATGCATTTAATTCATTTATTTTGTTTCCTATAATGACAAGATTATTCCTTTTATGCATTTTATATATTTTGTTTTTCCTAAAATGACAAGATTTCAATTATTATATGCCATGTAGGGATGTTCATTGGGCATAATTGCTTGAGACTCCAAACAACAATAACAATTCAATAAGATCCCAAGAAAATATAGTCCGAACTCCGAAGAGGATGTGTGTATGAAAATTGTTTCAAACTCCAAATTTAAGAAAATTTATACTTCAATAACAACTACAAAACCATATCTCAGTAGGTAGGGTCGGTTAAAAATGTCAACTTTTCTTTCACTAGCGACTTTAATTTGAAAATTCTGACATAATTTTTTTAGTTCTATTGATCAACTCTACTGCAAAGTACTCCGTAGTACTTCTTCATAGTTCATTTGTCCCTAAATCATTTAAACACTTCACTATTTAAAAATTACTGAAACTTTTGTTTATTTGGATGTTTTCATTTGTTATTTGATGAAATTAAATATTATTGTCTCCTAATACTCCGTACTATTCAATTCTCAACCTAATGATCCACAAAAAATCAATGCTTTTATTTCTATTGGGCTGGAACCTGGTGAACTTCTCCAAAAATTTTGAAGAGTGGGTTTCTTACCACTCAAGCCAGAAGCGAAGTTTAAAAAAATAACAAAACAAACAACACAAAAAAACACACAATATTTAAAAATATTTAAATTAAGTACTCCTGGAAAAAATTTTGTACGTCAATATTGTTCATATATATATATATATATATAGGTTCAGGTGAGAATGCAATCTAATGAAAGAATTAAGAATGAATCTCGTGCATTAGATTGGGAGATCTAAGGGTTAGGAATACATCAAAATTAGGTGCACCGAGATGGTTTGAAAATGCATCATGTCGAAATGCACCATAATCCTTTGAAAATGCACTATCTCAAAATTTGAGTGCAGAATGCAATCTGAGCCGCACGATGCATCAGATCTAAAGGCTAGATTTTATTCTTATTTCTTTCACCAAGGTGCATTCTCACTTGAACCAGCCCCTATATATATATATATATATATATATATATATATATATATATATATATATATATATATATATATATATATATATATATATATATATATATATATATATATATCAATCGAAAACATTTGACGAGCTTTATCAAATCAGACATAATATTTCTTCCATCTCTAGTAATACTACCTCCGTCCCAGAGTATTTGTCCACTTTCATTTTTACACACCATCCAATACACTTCTTTAATCAATTTTATCTTGTAATTTGTATATTAAAAAAGTATAGAAATTATATATTAATAATCTCTATGTTAAGACAAATCAAACAAGATCACACATGACTATATTTAGGCTTACACATTGAGAGAATTTGATGAGTCAAAGTGCTTAGATGAACAGTTCCCAAAATCAAAAGTGGACGAATACTCCGGGACAGAGGGAGTATTTCCTATTTTGAATTTTGAAAGAGAATTAAGTGGTAGACTTTTGATTAAGCTAAGGGTAATGACGATAATAGATACGAGTAGAGCGCCTGATCAGAAATATCAAAAACAAGTTAGAAAGTAGTTATGTTCAATTAGGCCAAAGGAAAACGTATTTTTGGGCAAATGAAAAGTGAAGGATGAAATATTTTTTGGTAGAGAGAGAGTATATCACAATTTAAGTGTCATTTGATAACAACGTACGTTAGAGTCTAACGTTAAGGTTTAAAAAAAAATTTATCAACCAATAGCTTTTAGCGTTAGAGTTTTTAAAATCTATCTACATGATTAAAATTTTATCCAAATTTTTTTATTGTTAATCGAAAATGTTATTTTCAAACAAAGGTTTATCCATTTACTTTTAGTCTTGTTATAAGAACGTCTCCATCCCTTTAAATTAGAATTCGTTCATCCAAAATAAATCATTCTAAATAGAAGCAAAATATAGATAAAGTATCAAAATTAGAGTGTCATGTCTTGTATCCCAAATAAACGTTTGTATTGTAATAATGTGACCCTGTATATGGACATTTCACAATATTTTTTGGTAATGTGTATAATGTAACATGTAATTAATTGATGATGATTAAAATTCATGTAAATTCTTTGAAAAAGTTAAATTAGACAAATAGACTGATAAAAATAATTTACATAATATCGTGGTTGGTTTAAGAGCAAAAAATGATGATTTAAGAGCAATTTCCACCCCAAAATTAGCGCTAATAAACAATTAACTAACTCAATTATACATCACCAAACACACCAAAATCAATTATACGGACAGCCACAGGGATTCGAACACGACGATGTCCATCACTCCAAGTAAGACTTCCGAAGCTGAATCCACCTTGGAACTTGATGGTTCGGGTAAACGTTACCTGAAAATTTGCTGTCTTTGTGCCATTGAACAGCAAAGTCTTCGGTTCAACTTTCATTGTTGTTCCAAAAGGAGCCAAAGTAGTTTGCTCGTAGATGGAGGTGTTCGGACCCACATTAGTGACTGTCCGGATCACTGTTATTGTTTTTGCACCAAGGTCCGGAAGGATGATGTATGGGAGGTTGATGAGGTGGTCCATGGTCGGCGCCATACGGTAGTCCTCCATGGTGGTGTTATACACTAGACCCGGGTCAAGAGCCCCTATCGGGTTGACAAACCCGCCACCAATGTCGAACAAGTTGCTAACCTTATCCATGTGCCCTCCATCTCGAATGTCGTCCCCATCTCTTTGAGATGACCATGCTACGAAAAAGAAACAATAATAATATGAAGTATATAACTACGTGCTCCGGCCTCCAATTGTTTGTCTATTTAGCATATTGATTAATTGTTATTATGGCATGTGATTGTGAATCAAATTACATTAAAAATTCATAGTCGCACTAACCAGAGGTTACGAGCGCTGAGCGAATGGCCCCAGGTGACCAACCTGGGTGCTCAGCCTTGATGAGGGCCACTACCCCGGCTACATGGGGTGTGGACATGGATGTCCCCGAATCAATTTGGTAGGTTGGGACTCCATGTATCGACGGATATGCCGCCAATATATCAACTCCTGGGGCCACGATATCGGGCTGCAACAAGAATGTCACACATTTCAGAAATTAAATTTACTCCAATCTCTCTAGTTAGGTTTTATTGATGAAATTCAAATGTTCTTGCCTTGAGAATATGTGGAAATAATGAATTAGGCCCCCTGGACGAGAAAAGGGCCACCCTTGGCGAGGCCACCTCGCCGATGACATTGGAAGGTGCACCCACCTTGGACATGGGCGTCCTGCAATAATATGTTTATTTGTTTGTGTACTTATTTTAAAGTTGGTTTTTTTTAGAGAAAGCAAAAGAGAAATGAGAGTATTTTCTCCATTCCTTAATTTCTCTTTTCTTACCTTGATTGCTTAATATATGCGAGGATGCGAGTCCCAACCTCCATATCAACCTTGATACTCGGGATGGTGGAGGGGACATGATTGTCGTCACGGCGTTGGGCGTATATCAAACCCACTCCGCCTGCCTGTGCCACAGCACTCGCTGCCGCTAGCATACTCTGGACATTATCAGTCCTGAAGCACAGCACAATTTTTCCCGTGACTTTCCCATCCAGATTCCCTCCCCCGCACCTGGCAATCAAAACAAGAAATAAAAAAAACAATATAAATGTGATTGGTTTTACAAAATAAGATGGAGGTTATAGATAATACAAGATCAGATTAAAAGGTTGTGGGGATCAAATTTAAGATAAATTATTTACGCATTGTTGTCCAAGCCCGTGGCTTCTGGATAGACGATTTCCCGAAAGCCGTCCAGGGCCTTGCCGGTGTACCAAGACTGCCCCTGTATAAATAATATTGATTATAAAAATAATTAAGAAGCTGGCCATTCTTAAATTTAAAAACCAAAAGAAACTTGGACATGGTCATATAGACGATTAGACATACGTACCCAGAAGGTTGAATTGTCTCCGAGGGTTATACCGGCCAAGAATCGGCGGTCGGTAGTGCACGCCCCAACGGTGATTAGCCACGGGGCGACATTTACGACCGAGTATGAATCGGGGCCCGTGTTCCCCGCAGACGCGACCACCGTGATCCCACGGGCGACCGCATGGTAGGATCCCAGCGAGATGGAATCGTGATGGTCACCGTTGGGGAATAGCGGGAAGTGTCGCCCGATGGAGATGCTGATGATATCCACCCCGTCGTGGATCGCCATGTCGAATGCCTTCAAGATATCCGACTCATCGCATGTCTCCATCCAGCAAACTTTATACACGGCAAGGCAGGCCCGCGTAGCACCACCACGGGCCACTCCTCGGGCGAGGCCCTCATTGCTCACACCGGGGACAACGGAGCCCCCGGCAGTGGCGGCCGTGTGGGTCCCATGACCGATGGAGTCACGCGGCGATAAGAAACTGCCGTAAAAGTGGGCAGCAGGCCCAGCTCCATTGGCGAAAAACCGGGCCCCGATCAGCTTCCGGTTGCAATGCGAGGCATTGAACTGCACCCCGCTCTGACATATGCCCCTCCAGTGCTTCGGCACGGGGCCCATTGTCTCGTCTTTGAAGCTTGGGGACTCGGGCCAAACTCCTGCGAGAAATCAAACATATACTTATGTTATTTGTCCATTTTTCGACAAAAAAAAACAAAGAGACTTTTGAGGAAGCCCTTGAAGCAGATCAGACCACTTTTCCTCACAAGCCCTTATGGGGCATTTATTTAAATGCTCAATTTCCCGTTTTATTTCATTCTGGTCTATCTTCTTTTTCTTTATTTTTTCCAAATCAGAAAAGTCTTTACTGTTCAGTTCTACATATATACTCCGTTGTACATTCACTAAGTAGATCAATATGGTCCTAATCTGTGGTTTCAACGGTGTTAACAGTGTAATTATAACGTAACGATGATTAATATGGAAAAGTACGTAAAACTACATTATGTCATCAATGCATGGTGGACAATGGAGGTATAGACCATTTTGTTTCTTTACTCAAATATAAGTAGGCATAAATAAAGAAGAAATTAAAGACTAAAATTTGAGTGTGCCAAAATTGTGATGTACATTTTCCCTCAATACAAATGAAAACATGTGAGAATGAACGCTATTTATTTGCTTGTTGAGTGTAAAGAACACATAAATGATAATTAAAATGATACTAAAATAAATTGTACTTATTAGTTATTACCCGTGTCTATAAGTCCAATGATAGACCCTTCCCCCATTTTACCATAATGGGGTGGCTGAGCTCCGGCTCCAAGTGATAGCCCCAGAAAATCCCAACTTCTGGTTGTATGCAACTTGAGCTTCCGGCTCTTTGACACATATACCACTCCGGGCATAGCTGCACACAACAACAACAACAATAATAATCGTGAGAACATATATGGTTACTACTAATAAACAATGAAAATAATGTTTCTGTTAAATTTTAAAAAAGGTACCGGCTACAGTCTCGGCCTGGGCCTCGGTCAACCGAGCGGCAAAGCCGGAAAACCCATGCTTGTAAGAGTACAACATGGCTTCCCGCGCAGCCAAAGGGCTGCCAAGGACGTCCTCGAGGAGCTTTACATGGGCAGCTTTTGTGGCTTTCGACTCGCCGGAAGAATGCCCCATGTAAACGATATGGGCGTCATTGCCTTTCGGCTCAGTGTTTGTGGTCATAGAGGAAGTTGTTGCAGAGACTATGAGAAGGAAGAATGCCATAAGAGCGATTGTGCATGAACACGAAGTCATCATGTCGAATGCAGAGAGAATTGAAAGAGATATATTAAACTTAAATCTCAAAAAAGGCCAAGAGAACAAGTGTTGGAGGTGTGTAGCAAAGAAAAAGAATTGAACTTGTTGGAGAATTGAAGTGTGAGACAATGAATACGGGTGCTCCCAATATATACACATCTCGTGATGAAAAAATGAGGGGAGGGATGATAAGATTCCCACTAAGCTCTTTCTGTCCCATTTTGAAAAAAGTTCTTTTTTTTTAATGTTACACTTCTTGTGTTCTGTTTTTTTGGTAGGGAATAAATGGCTACAAATTTTTAATTAACAATTTCAATTGTTCCATATAAATCTCTTTTTTGAAATTAACAAAAAAACTCCTTTAAATAGGTCACAAAATAGTACTCCTTCCGTCCCAATTTAAATCACTTTTTTCAATTTACAATATTTGATTAGAATTATTTTCAACGTAATTTATTGGAGATTTGGAACGGAGTTAAAAAAATAAACTTTACATATGAAAAAATTATATTAAAAGCTCTACTAAACAAGATGTGACATGAGTATATAATTTTATCAAATAAGAAATAAAAATAGGAAAAAAAGTAAACAAAGTTTGACACCATGAATAATAAACGGTCAACCTAATTTGGGACAAGGGAGTATTTATATATATATGTTGTCTCAAAAATTAAAAAATCTAAATTTTTTGAATTTTTTAAAAAAGTTTATGCATGTTGTTTCATATAATTATCTACCCCGAATATTATAATATTCCAAACGATTACCTTAAATAGGAAACTCTTTTTAAGGATCTAATGACAAATATAGAAAAATGGGGAGCACATGTCCAAATAATACAAATTAAAACAAGCCCACTGGTCCACCACACTATTCCTCACACAAATTTGATACAAAAACTCGGTCCATCCCCAAACGACGTAGTTTAACCTAACGAATATTTAAAAAAAAGTAATTGAAAGTTAAAAATGTGTATTTAAAATTTAGAGTGAATTCCATAAATAGTTCCTAATTACTAGTGGTTTTTTATATTAGGTCTCTAATTCTAAGATATTAAATAAATAGTGCTCAAATTTTGAAAATTATTCCATAAATAGTTCTTTAGACTAATTATGACAAAATATTTTTTCCACAATTAGTCCTTGAACGACCGATTATAGAATAGTTTTCAAAAATTAAGAACCATCCATGTAAACCCTCGGAATTGAGGACTAAATACGAAAATCCACTCGTAACTCAAGACCATTTATGAAATTTACTCTAAAATTTATTTAGATGAGAAAGATTTATTACTCCGTATTATTCTTTTAACCACTTATTATTACTCCCTCCATCTTTTTTTATTAACAAATAATAAAATATAAATCGGACAAAATGAGTATTACATTTTCCAGTATGAATTATTGTGGGTCGATGAAACACTTTGCAATAAATTAACCAGCTACGTAAACTATCAATTAACATTTCCTATCGGAGAGTATCATATCTCAAATTAATTGTAGAGGGCACATGCCATTTTCTATTTCTTATAGTAAAAATTGCTTTCTTTTCCCTATTTTTGAATAACTTTGTTTTGTACTCATCGTAGCCTATAAAGCATTTAATGCATCCCAATTTAGCTGCCCATTTCTTTCTATCATATTCACTCGGGAAATTATAAAAAAAATCTAAAGTATTCTAAAGATGGGGTAAAAAGTAAAAACATTATTGACATGAAATATTCTAAAGATGGGGTAAAAAGTAAAAACATTATTGACATGAATGGGTGACAAACTGATTTTATAAACTTAATTGACATTTCAAACAAATTTCTTTACACTATCTTTGGTTCAAGGAATTTTGAAGGAAAAGAAAAGAAAAACAATTTTTCCTCATTTTCCTCACTAAAATGGAAGGAATTTGGTTTTCTTTCCTCTTAGTACATTTTGTCTTCTTTTTTTCTTTTCCTTTCACTTTTCTTTTCTTTTCTAACCAAACAAGAAAAATGTTTTCCTTCCCATTTTCTTTTCCTTTATTTCTAAAATTCCTTGAACCAAGCATACTGTTAAAATGAGATTCTTTTAGAGAAAGTAGACAATTAAATTCTAACAAAGAGCGTATATCTAAGAAAAAGAAAAGAAATCAAAAATATTAAATTTTGTTTGTTAGTTGGGAAATTGGTGAAGATATTGATCTATATTTTTCAATAACTTTTTTGTTTAATTGTTGTAGAGTAAACAGAAAAAGACATTGTTTAGAAAAGAAAGAGGAGCAAATTCTCACGTGGTCCTAAGCTCCAAGCTTATTTTATGGGCTTGATATTACGGAGTATAAAAAAATTGGACTTTTTGTATTAAAAAAAAAAGAAAATATCCATTTTTCTTGAAAAATACTTTCTCCACCAATAATTACATTTTTTTGTTTCTTTGACTTTCTTTTCTTTTCCTTATCATTTTACTTTCTTTTGTAATTCTCTGAATAAGTGTAAAACTAGAGAAAACTAAGTGATAGAAGCTTACCTTTCCACAAACAAAAGCAACGGCAGCCCCTTAACCAATATTCACTTCTCACAACAGAGTCTACGGAGCTTAGGAGAAATTACTGGATGGAAGAGAAAAAGAGAGAAACTTACACAAGTTTGTTGTTACACCACTAGTTACATTGGTCATTATCTTCCCACTCAGATTAATTGTACTCGAAACGACTGTGAGATTGCAACTGAGTAACACATAGATCATCATTGTAACGGTCGGTTCACCGTGAATCATGCAACATAAAATCAATATAATATGATGTTCTAACATCTAAGTTGCACAATTCACGAAGAACCAACCGTTGAGTCATTGTAAAACGTTACAATGGCGATCTAGTTTCTCATAACTTACAATCCTACAGCCGGTTTTGAGTCAAAATAGTCGAGCAGAAAATAATGACAGATGTAACACTAAGATCAATCCATAAGAATAACTAGGTATCATATGGTGTAACAAATTACCTGCTTCTGGCGCTTGAATGTGTCAAAACCAACAGTGTGCATTTCCTTGGGTTGCCGCCTAGAGGATTACTCCAAAGCCTCTCCATCAAACTCATCCTGTGGCATCCTTTTGGCACGTCCGTCAGCTTCTCTGTTTTTTCTACCAATCTCTCCTCGCAAATTCAATTTTGCAGTACGAGCAAAACGAACCGAACCTCTAGTTTTCTCATTGGGGGCCAAAGGAATCACCAAGTTTATGCTCATCAAAAATGACACAGAGACTTTCACATGCTTTCCCCATTGAAAAAATCATCCTTCATTCTAGTGAAAAATTTTCCACCATTCTCATCCTCAAACTATCGTCCCAGTCAAAAATCCATGTTTCCATATTGTTAGTTATATTGGGAGAGCCAAAAGCTGTGAATTTCCCACACCAGTAGTTCTATTGCCAAAATCTTGATGGGGTACAGCCAAATTATCCTTGAGGAAGCATTCCAAAATCTTGTATAGTGGCCTGTGATAGGTTGCCCAGTTATTAGGAATCAAGGTAGCTCAATCTGACAAGGCCAAGCTCTTTCTCTTCGTTAACAGATCTACTCCAGCTTGATGTGCTCATTTCCCTCAACTTAGGCAGAGAGTCTTCTCCCGACACAACTTCTGGCCCTTCCCTTTATCTTCCATGTTCTAAACTTCCTTCTCAAAAATGGAGGAAACTGCTATACATTTATTTTCTAAGCAGAATCTCCAAAAGATTGCCCGCTACATTTTGGAATCATAAACCATGCTATCTGATTGATGTGTAAGAGCACTGCGAGCAGCTAGTCCAATTGCTCTCACTGATGATGTAGGAAATGAATCTATGTGAATCCCTTTAAGGAGAACCTAATAAAAAACAAGCCAAGAGCGCTCATCAATATTCAAGCTGAGTTATCAAATAAAGATGCCGCAGCAGACTCAACATGCAATAAACTAACTCCATGAGAAAGTCCTAAAAATCAACTAGTGTATTATCTATTGACTCAAGAACGAGTCTTGTATTTCTGCAAATGCTAGTACAAGTAAGAGATTTATATCACATTGCATAGTCAAAGAGTTTGTTAAAACAGCAAAACCTTGAAAGGGGAAGGACAACACAAGTTGATACCATTTTCAAATAGTTGCCCTTCTTGATTTCATTCCAAACATACTCCAAACAGAACTGCATTTTGTTCTTGCTAGCCAAATCACAGATGCATTCTGTAACTGATTCATCATCGATTTAATCATTTCCTGCATTTCATTTTGTATGTTTACTCACAACCAGTTTTAGGGATAACTCGAGTGGCGAATTCGTTCAGCAATTGGGTCTTCAATTTTTGCCTGGCTATCAATTACTAGGGTTTACGCACCACAGTTCACAATTCGGGGGGTGGGGGGGCAAAATCGCCATTTTAGGCCAGAGATTTGTCCAGAAAAAGGGACATCTACAATTACTCATCAATAAACTAGTGATAATCAACACACTTACACACAGAAATTGCAACACAAAGACTCAATTGCCAAAGAACAATTAGCACGCGTAAGGCGATTCAATGAATAATTCTCGACTTACCAACATTAGAANTGGTAGAAAAATTGGGTATCTCCTCCATTGCCAAGACTGAGGCTCTCGGGCTTCCCCTAGACCCGCCATTGCCGTTACGGAGAGATCCAGCCACCTTCAACACATATTGTGAATCGACGTAAGCACACGCACAAGCATATCTCTGCTTCCTGTCGTGATTTATGGACGCCGAGGCGGGAGCCGGAGAAAAAAAGGATGGAGAGTTAGGGTTCCGATTGCAGATCTTTCATATTTGGAATTTGGAGGAAACACTCATATATTTTGTTTTAAAGAAAAAGGAGTCATCTTGTAGATATCGATACAATAATAAGTTTTTGGTCAAAAATTTTTCATTATTTGTATACTTTTGACTTTTTCAGTTAAAATTGGTAAATTTTGATCTTAAATTAAAAAGAAAACCCCCTAAATAGGAGTAAGATTTCAAACATAAACTCCTCTAAATAGGAATAAATAATTATTTTTATTACTTAAATAATAGAAGTATTCACAGGCCGTTTATTTTCATTTTGTCATTAGGTCACCATCACAGTAGGAGTCCGCTTCCCGCCCGCGCTTCCCCCGTCGAATCGCTATGCCATCGTCGCTACCACCGTCGAATCACTGCGTCATCGCCTCCTCCGCTGCCATGCACCCCATCCATCTCAGATCTCCCTTCCACCTCCCACCCTTTTCCTCAATCGATTATAATCACCCTTGCCGCCACCGTCACTCAATCGCAGCCGCCATGCCCCCCCCCCACATCACTGAGATTCATCGTTGCATCGATGCCTAGCCTTTCCACCTCCATCTCCCTCCCTCAAAGTCTGATTTCAAAAGTGAGTAAGTTCTCTCTCAATCTTTGATTAATTTTTATTTTCTTTGAATTTTGTCAGCAAAAAGTCGAGCAGTGCATGAGATTATTTGGTTTGGTATCATGCCTTGTGACATTTGTGAATTCACATTGTGGCATTATATGCGAGCATTTGTGGCATTATATATTGTCAAGTATGACATTATATGGTGGCATGTTTGCCATTATGCATTTCTTTGGCATTAGATATTGTCATGGATGATATGATGTGGTGTCATGTTTGTCATCATACACTTATTTGGTATTATATTCGGTTTGGCATCAAAACGTCATCAAAACTGGCTCAATTTGAACATGAAAAACTTCTTTTTTGGAGCACAAACAAAGTAAAACAAAACCTATCCACTAATTGTCGAAACCCAATCCAGAAACAACAAACAGCAACATGCGGCAACAAAGAGATTTTAATGACCAAAATTTGGCCTAGCTAATTAATTATACATGACCGAGCAGTTGGCAACAGCAACAGGCGTCAACACACACGCAGGACAGAATATGGTAACTCCTATTTTTGGGATTTTATCTTTTAATTCCTATTTTGAAGTTTAATCAATGTTTTACTCCTATTTTGGTCCTTAACCCTAAATTAAATAAAAATAATATTAGATATCGATACAATAATAAGTTTATTAGATTTATTATATAAAATATTTCAAAATATTATTTTATATAATTAATATACAATATATATTTACTTAATTATAAGTCAAAGGATGAAAATAATTGACTGAAAAAAATCAAAAGTAGACAAATATTTTAAGACGAAGGTAGTATTAGTTATAACTTGTAGTATTTCGTATCCAATAAATTAAATACTCCCCCGTTCTACATTAAGGTTTCATTTTTGAGTAATTTCCTTAAATGGGATTAAAACATAATAACTTTCCTAATATAAGACTATATGTTTTTATTTCCAAAGTTAGGACGTACTTTTGGTCATTATGAATTAGTCATTATTTAAGTAAATGTCCATCATTACTGGACATTAATCCTCCTACTAAGACACTAATAAGTCCTATTTAAGGAATAAAAAAGTTTAAGTCCTAGATTAGGAAAGTCATTATGTTTTAGTCATATTTAGTGCAAATTTCACTTCATTTTTTCCCATCTTAATTAAAACAAAGCTGGTACCCCGAACTTATTTTACAAAAGATTTTAATTTTTTTTATTTTCCGATGAAAAATTGAAATTTACGCAGTCTCTTCTCCATCTAAGAAAACTCTCAAAATTCCAGCAATTTTCTCTCTAGGTTATGTCTTCTCTTATACGGTGAAGGAATCTCTTATTATTGAGATCCAAAGATCAGATAGATATGATGTCGCTGTATGCTCTCCTTTCTATTCTAGGGTTTTATTAAACAAATCTACTCTCATCTTCAACATCTAATATTTACCGTTGTTCGTTGCTCGCCAAAGACGGGTAAGCTTCTTCAATCTCTCTTTTTAATTTATTTCTTTGTACAAATTAATCATAAATATAATTAATTTTCGGAAGGTTGTTGTCTGTCTTTAGTCATCTCTTTACGAACTATTTTCCGGAAATTAAACCATGGTCGAGCCAAGGATTTTGAATGTAGTCATGACGGAAACAACTAGATTCTTCTGTATATATATCTATATTTCTTCCCTCCTTCCACCTCCAACTTCACCATTAAATCTCTTCCCAATACATACATCAATTCTAATCCTTGTCATAATGGATGGGTTTCCCTCTTCCTCAATTTGTGACTTGCCCAAAGGAAAGAAACCTATTAGGTAGGGGTGTATAAACTCAAGTTTAACGCTGATGGCACCCTAGAGAGACACAAGACAAGACTGGTCATACGAGGATATATGCACTCAAAAGGAAGGGATAGATTATCATGAAACGTTCTCTCCAATGGTCAAAATGACAATTGAATTGTTAGAGCCTTGCTAACTATCTATACACAAATAGAGATACGGAGTATTAATGATTTAATGTTTTACTCGAAATGGTGAAAGCCAAAATGGAAAAAGAAAAGGTGATAGAATGGAAGGAGTAGTATTTATTTATTTACTCCGTATTTATTAAATATTAATATTGTATGTCACGTAAATAGAAAGTTTTATTTCATATCCAAAAAACAACAATCGTTCACCCTCACGTACGGGAGAATATACGGATCGAATTGAAAAATTTATAATTGTATGTGAAATTTGCAGTGAATATGACTAAAACATAAGGCATTTCCTAATGTAGGACTTAAATTTTTTAATCTCTAAATAGGACTTAATTAATAATGTCTAGATGGAAGAAAAATGTCTAACAATAATGGGCATTTAGTTGAATAATGAGTAATTGATAATGACCAAATGTCATACGGAGTATATTAGAAAATAAAAATATATGGTCCTATATTGGAAAACTCATTATGTTTTAGTCATATTTAAATAAATTTCTCTAATTGTATTGCATGTGTATACGCATGTCATTTAAATCTTCTTTGGGGGAGTCTAAAAATAAATGTTGTCGATGATTTTTGTTGCTTTTCCACAAGTAATTCAGGACGAATATAATACAGGTACGTAACATTTTATAAGTGATATAATAAAGACGGTCGTAATTAATAGAAATAGGGTACAAAGATTATTATTAGTATTGGGCAAATTGATCACCAGTCGTTGCCTACGTACGTGCATACCCATGCATTTTCCATGCATAATTGCATAAAACACATATATTCTTTCTCATGGAACATCTCTACGCACTAATTAACTGCTTGAACGTGGTCTTCGTGGTTATTATTATAAGAGTGAGCTTCAAGGCAGACGCAAAAACCTCGCATGCAGGCTGGGACACCGTCCTTACCATCTTTTAAGCAGTCTTCAATGGGACAGTTCTGATCATAATCGCATGGCTTCCCCAATTGTCCTTTCACCCCTAAAGACGGTCCCAACACCGTACCTGTACGCCCACAAAAATGTATAAAACACACCCTTTCATTATAAAGAGTAATTTTTTAGAGTTCATTTCTCTTAAATTTATTCTTATTGCCTAGGTGATACTTTGTACTTCTTTTGTTCCAAAAAATATTTTCTATTTTGATTTTTTTTGTCATGTATTTTGTTCACAAATTGTAAGAAAGGTATATTTAATTATAATACTCTTTCCGTCTCACAAAACCCTTCTTCTTTTCTTTTTCATCAATCCCAAAAAATTCTTCTCTTTTTCTATTAAAAAGTCACTTTTACCTCTATTAATTTTTAATCCATTTATCACATCACACTTTTTTCCTATTAATCTATTCATCACATCCTACTTTATTTATCACATCAAAGGACATTTTTGGAAAGTCAACACCAAAATAATCTCACCTTAAATTCTTTAAGACCCGTTTGGTACACGGAATTCAAACTATGGAATTGAAATTGAGGACTTCAATTCCAATTCTTGTATTTGGTAGCACAAAAATTATGTGAATTTGGAATTGGTAGTGCAAAAAATGAATTGGAATTGATGAATTCAATTCTATGAAATTGAATCTCATGAAATTTCAATTCCAATTCAATTTCAATTCCATCAATTCCGTATACCAAACGGACCCTAAAAGTCAAAATGAGAAGTTTTTTGAGAGATGGAGAGAGTATAAATTTAGTACTCCCTCCGTCCTAAAATTAACTTCCCAGTTTGACTTTTGCAGTCAAACTTTATAAACTTTGACTATAGATTAAGGAAAAAATACATTGAATTTTCATATAAATTTATTAGCAATAAATTCATTTTGGAATATAGTTTTGAAATATATAATTTTTATAAAATATATTTATATAAAAATTGAGATATTGATAGTCAAAGTGTCGCATTGGAGACCGTGAAAAATCAAATGAGAAGTTAATTTTAGTACGGGAGAGTATAATAGTAGACTGACACACACAAACACCAATTATATAGCCTTTTCCGAATTAGAATGATTGAGAGGGTCGATTACTGACCGGAAGCGAAAAGGAAAACGAGCAGAACGGCGACGTAAAATGCCTTCGCCATGTATTCCGTATATCTAAATTGCTGCCAATACGAATATGAGTGAAGTATATATACTCCAGTATTTCTCTTTCTCTTCCTTTTCTTCGATGGGTACACTGCACACACTACTCATATATATACTTTTACGTCTGCTCAAAAAAGCAAGTAACGATCTGCAAAAATGAAATGGAAATCATTCTGAATTTATTTCGCTTGCATTTAATTTTATTTATTTTGTTTCCTATAATGACAAGACTATACTTTTTATGCATTCTATATATTTTGCTTTCCTTACAATGACAAGATTTCAATTTCTTACTCCCTATATACCAATATACCATATTGGGCCTATTTGAAAATAGCATTATATTATAGATTAACGTTATCATTTTGAATAAAATTTTAACGGTGCAAATTACTTTAAAAACGCTAATGCTAATCGCTAACATTATTCTCAAACAGGCATATTGCAAATTCCTTAGAACATCTACAATGGGTAGTGAAAAAGTGGTTGTGTATATTTCATTTTATACAATCAATAGTGTGTTATACACCCAAATTTTTTGTATCTTCTCTCAACCATATTGTCATATTCTATCTAATACACTTTTTGTAAACATTACTAAAGTGTATATTTAACAATATACACTACCTCCTTTCGTAAAATAATACACACTTTCTATTAGAGATGTTCTTATGCACATGCAATTAGTTCTAGCAAAACAGATTCAAATTCGGAGCCGATTATTCAAACTGAAATATCCAAAACTAAAGTTGAAATGAATTGAAAATTTACATTCCGATCTTCAACAGAAAATTCCATATGATCCAAAAGAACCAGAATCAAACCAATTATATCCAAATAAACTCGAATTAGATCTCAAAATAATTCGATCCGAAATCGATTAAATTTAAACCGATCAAACCTGAGATCTAATCACAATAAAAAACCGATCATAATCAAAATCGGGGTATGCAATTCATAGAATAATGTTATACTCCATAATAGTGGGACGACTAGATTCACTTGACCCTTGAGTTATCGTGACACCAGAAGACCAATTGAATTATACATACTCCGACTGAGTATAATCTTATTTTGTGAATATGTGATTTACTAAAACTTGTGAAGGAAGAAAATTTGTAAATTGAATTTGTGAAGGAAGAAAATTTGTGAGCTATTGAAACTTTTCCATAAAATGAAAAAAGAGGCTTTTTTTTGGGATGCCCCAAACAGAAAATAAGATGTCTTTTTTATTTGTGAATGGGAGTCTAATTAGTATTAAGTAAACTAAAGCATGATGTATGTGCAATGCCATTGAAGAATGTGGCATAACCATTTTGTTTAATCTTACGTAAATTAGCCAACTCAATCATACATCTCCGAACATGCCAAATTCGATAACACGAACAGCTACAGGGATTCGAACTTGATGTCCGTGGTCATCACTCCATGTAAGACTTCCGAATCTGAATCCTCCTTGGACCTTGATGGTTCGAACGAATGTTACCCGGAAAGTTGTCGTCTTTGTGTCATTAAACAGCAGAGTCCTAGGTTCAACTTTCATTATCGTCCCGAAAGGAGCCTTTAGTGTTTGTTTGTAAACAGACTTGTTCGGACCCACATTGGTAACCGTCCGGGTCACTGTGACTTTTGTAATCCCAAGGTCCGGAATGATGATGTATGGAAGGTTGGTGAGGTGGTTGTGGTTTGGGGTCAGGTGGTAGTCCTCCATGGTGGTGTTGTACACTAGACCGGGGTCTAGAGACTCTATCGGGTTGACAAGCCCCCCACCAATGTCGAACATGTTGGTGACCTTATCCATGACCCCTCCATCTCGTATGTCATCCCCACCGCTTTGACTTGTAGTCCTTGCTGCAAAAAGATAAATAAAGAGTTAATTAATAAAAAAAATCACTCTTCGGTCATCTATCTGATTAATTTTTGAAATTCCCTATTTATATCATTCAAATTGCATCTGACTGTATTATCGTACTAACCGGTGGTTATGAGCGCAGAACGAATAGCCCCCGGTGACCAATCAGAGTGCTCAGCCTTGATGAGGGCCACGACTCCGGCTACGTGAGGTGTGGACATGGATGTCCCCGAATCCAATTTGTACCTCACGGCTCCATGTACCGACGGGGACGCTGCCAAAATATCCACTCCTGGGGCCACAATATCAGGCTGCAACATACCAAAATGTTACATATATTTCAAGAATTTAATTACTCCGTAATTTATTTCAAATCCTCTAATGAGTAATTAAGTTTGATAAAAGAAAGAAGTCGATCTTACCTTGAGAATATGCGGAGATAACGAACTGGGGCCACGGGACGAGAAAAAGGCCACCCTGGGCGAGGCCACGCTGGTGATGAAGTTGGAGGGTGTACCCAACTTGGCCATGGGAGTCCTGCGAAGTATTTATTTAATTTGTTCACTTTTGTGTTTAGTAATGATTTTGAAAGAATGCAAAGCAACTGATGTGAGAATTAATTCTTTCTATATTTTTAATTTCTTTTTCTTACCTAGATTGCCTCATGTATGTGAGGGTACGAGCCCCAACCTCAAGATCAACCTTGACACACGGGATGGTGCAGAGGATTTTATTGTCATCCCGGCTCTGGGCGTATATCAAGCCTACTCCGCCTGCTTGAGCCACTGCATCCGACGCCGTAGACATACTTTGGATATTGTTGATCTTGAAGCATAGTACGATTTTAACAATGACCGTACCATCCAGACTCCCTCCCCCACAGCTTACCATCAAAACCAAAAACATAACAAAGATATAAATCAGAGCCAATAATCACACAAGGCTAAGATTCAATTACTAAATTGCAAAATAAATAGTTGCGCATGTCAAATTTAAGATGAGAAGTTTTTACGCATCATTGTCCAAGCCCTTCGAATCTGGATAGATCATTTCCCGAAAGCCGTCCAGAGTCTTGCCCGTGTACCAAGACTGCCCCTGTATATAAATGATTATAATATCAGTCACCTACTGTTAATTAAGAAGCTGTCATTCTCAAATTTTAAAAAGCAAAAACAAACTTAGATTTAGATATATATGGTCATACATATATACGTACCCAGAAGGTTGAATTGTCTCCGAGGGTAATAGTGGCTAAGAATCGGCGGTCGGTAGTGCACGCCCCAACGGTGATGAGCCACGGGGCGACATTTACCACCGAGTATGAATCGGGGCCCGTGTTCCCAGCTGACGCGACCACCGTGATCCCACGGGCGACCGCATGGTAGGATCCGAGCGAGATGGAATCGTGATGGTCACCGTTTGGGAATAGCGGGAAGTGTCGCCCGATGGAGATGCTGATGATATCCACCCCGTCGTGGATCGCCATGTCGAATGCCTTCAAGATATCCGACTCATCGCATGTCTCCATCCAGCAAACTTTATACACGGCAAGGCGGGCCCGCGTAGCACCACCACGGGCCACTCCTATGGCGAGGCCCTCGTAGCTCACACCGGGGACTACAGAACCTCCGGCAGTGGAGGCCGTGTGGGTCCCATGACCGATGGAGTCACGCGACGATAGGAAACTGCCGTAAAAGTGGGCAGCAGGCCCTGCCCCATTGGCGAAAAACCGGGCACCGATCAGCTTCCGGTTGCAATGGGAGGCGTTGAACTGCACCCCGCCCTGACATATGCCTCTCCAGCGCTTCGGGACGGGGCCCATCGTCTCGTCGTTGAAGCTTGGGGACTCGGGCCAAACTCCTGCGAGAAATCAAACACATGCATCTGTTATCTGTCCATTTTTCGACAAAAAAAAGAGAGCATTTGTCCATTTGTGAAGTTATGTTATACAAATTCTCAATTTCCCGTTTTATTTCATGATGGTCTGCTTTTTCTTTATTTTTTCCAAATCAAAATCAATTTTTTGAAGTCTTTTTCTGTTCAATTCTACATATTCCGTTGTAGCTACATTCACAAACTACATCAACATGGCCCTGGTCTGTGATTTAACGGTGTTAATTATAACGGTAATTAACACGGAAAAGTAAAACTCTTATAGTACTTTTTTAATATCACTCTTATAGTAAAACATCAATGCATTAGGACAGTGGAGCTAGACCATTTTATTTTTTCACTCACATTTTTTTACTAATTATAATCCACGTTAATTTTTAAAGAATAGAAGACATAAATAAAGAGCAAAAGGCTAAAATTTGACTGCCAAAATTGTGATTTAAATCTTCCCTTAAATCAAATAAAAAACATGTGAGTACATAAATGCTATTTATTTACTTGTTGTGTTTAAAGAATACTTAACAGATACATAAAAAAGTAAGCTTAAATGAATTGTAGGTATTACCGGTGTCTATGAGTCCAATGATAGACCCTTCCCCCATTTTACCATACTGGGGTGGCTGAGCTCCGGCTCCAAGTGATAGCCCCAGAAAATCCCAACTTCTGGTTGTATGCAACTTAAGCTTCCGGCTCTTCGACACGTATACCACTCCGGGCATAGCTGCACACAACAACAACAACAACAACAACAACAATAAAAATCGTGCCTCGGTCAATGAAAATAACGTTTCCGTTAAATTTTAAAAAGGTACCAGCTACAGTCTCAGCCTGTGCCTCGGTCAACCGAGCGGCAAAGCCGGAGAACCCATGCTTGTAAGAGTACAACATGGCTTCCCGCGCAGCAAAGGGGCTGCCGAGGACGTCCTCGAGGAGCTTTACATGGGCAGCTTTTGTGGCTTTCGACTCGCCGGAAGAATGCCCCATGTAAACGATATGGGCGTCCTCGCCTCTCGGCTCAGTGTTTGTGGTCATAGTGGAAGTTGTTGCAGAGATTATGAGAAGGAAGAATGCCACAAGAGGGATTGTGAGATTATGAGAAGGAAGAATGCCACACGAAGTCATCATTTCGAATGCTGAGAGAATTGAGAGAAATATATTAAACTTAAATCTCTAAAAAGCCAAGAGAACAAGTAGTGTTGGAGCAAGGAAAAAGAACTTGTTGGAGAATTGAAGTGTGAGATAATGAATGAGAGTGCCCCCAATATATACACCATGAAAAAATGTGGGGAGGGATGATAAGATTCCCACTAAGCTCTTTCTGTCCCATTTTGAAAATGTTCTTTTTTTTATGTTACACTTCTTGTATTCTGTTCTTTTTTTTTTTGGTAGGGAATAAATGGCTTCAAATATTTAATTAAGAATTTCAATTGTTCCATATAAATCTCTTTTTAAATATTAACAGAAAAAACTCCTTTAAATAGGCCACAAAATAATACTGCTTCTGTTCCAGTTTAAGTCACTTTTTTCAATGCCCAATATTTGATTAGAATTATTTTCAACGTAATTTATTGGAGAATTGGAATGGAGTAAAAAAATAAACTGTACAAATTTAAAAACAATATTAAAAGCTCTACTAAACAAGAAGTGACATTACTATATAATTTTATTAAATAAGTAATAAAAAAGCAAAAAAATTAAATAAAGTTTGACACTGTAAATAATAAACGGTCAACTTAATTTGGGACAAAGGAGTATTTATATATATATATATATTTATATATATATATATATATATATATATATATATATATAAATTAAAAAATCTAAATTTGTTGAATTTTTTTAAAAAGTTTATGCATGTTGTTTCATATAATTATCTACCGCGAATATTATAATGTTCCAAAAAGGTTGCCTTAAATGGAAAACTCTTTTTATGGTTCTAATGACAATTATAGAAAAATGGGGAGCACATGTCCAAATTATACAAATTGAAACAAGCCCCACTGGTCCACCACACTATTCCACACACAAATTTGATACAAAAACTCAGTCCATCCCCAAACGACGTAGTTTTTACACAATTAGTCCTTGAACGACCGATTATGGAATAGTTTTCAAAAATTAGGAACCATTCATGTAAACCCTTAAAATTGAGGACTAAATACGAAAATTTACTCGTAAGTCAATACTATTTATGGAATTTACTCTAAAATTTATTTAGAGGAGAAAGATTTATTACTCCGTATTATTCTTTTAACTACTTGTTATTACTCCCTCCATCTTTCTTTTATGAATAAATAATTAAATATAAAGTCGAACGAAATGAGTATTACATGTTCAAGTACTACCTCTGTCCCAGTCTATTTGTCCAGTTTGACTTTTTCGAGTCAAACTGGACAAACTTTGAACTCCAATTACAATAAATTTATATTGCATATTAGCATAATGAAATACAATTTTGAAAGTTCTCAATACAATAAATTCAATAAAGTCATTTTTATGTTAAAATACATTACGATTTTTATTTAATTGAAGCTCAAAGTTTATTCAATTTGACTCGAAAAAATCAAACAGGACAAATACACTGGGACGGAGGGAATATGAATTATTGTGGGTCGATGAAACACTTTGCAATAAATTAACCAGCTACGTAACTTAATATGCTCTATCAATTAACATTTCCTATCGGGGAGTATCACCATCTCAAATTGTTTGTAGAGGGCACATGCTATTTTCTATTTCTTATAGTAAAAATTGCTTTCTTTTTCCTATTTGTGAACAACTTTGTTTTGTACTCATCGTAGCCTATAAAGTATTTAAAGCATCCCAATTTAGCTGCCCTTTTCTTTCTATCATATTCACTCGAGAAATTATAAAAAAAAATGTCTAAAATATTCGGGGTAAAAACATTATTGACATGAATGGGCGACAAAGTAATTTTAAAACTTAATTCACATTTCAAACAAATTTCTTTGCACTATGTTTGGTTCAAGGAATTTGGAACGAAAAGAAAAGAAAAATAGTTTCCCCTCATTTTTCTCACTAAAATGGAAGGAATTTGGTTTTCTCTCCTCTTAGTACATTTTGCCTCCTTTTTTTCCTTTTCCTTCCACTTTTCGTTTCTTTTCCTCTCTAACCAGACAAGAAAAATATTCTCCTCCTCATTTTCTTTTCCTTTCCTTCTCAAATTCCTTGAACCAAACAGAGTGTTAAAATGAGATTCTTTTAGAAAGTAGACAATTAAATTCGGACAAAGAGCGTATATCTAAGAAAAAGAAAAGAAAGTCAAAGAAATCAAAAATATTAAATTTGGTTTGTCAGTTGGGAAATTGGTGAAGATATTGATCTATATTTTTCAATAACTTTTTTGTTTAATTGTCGTAGAGTAAACAGGAAAAGACATTGTTCAAAAAGAAAGAGGGGCAAATTCTTACGTGGTTTTAAGCTCCATGCTTATTTTATGGACTTGATATTATAAAAAAATTGGACTTTTTTATAAAAAAGAAAATACTCCGCATCCATTTTTTCTCGAAAATTACTTTCTCACGAATTATTACATTTTTTTTAGTTTCTTTGACTTTCTTTTCTTTTCCTTACCATTTTACATTCTTTTTGTAATTCTCTGAATAAGTGTAAAACTGGAGAAAACTAAGTGATAGAAGCTTACCTTTCCACAAACAAAAGCAACGGCAGCCCCTTAGCCAATAATCACTTCTCACAAAAGAGTCTACAGAGCTTGGGAGAAATTACTGGATGGAAGAGTAAAAGAGAGAAACGTACACAAGTTTATTGTTACACCACTAGTTACATTGGTCATTATCTTCCACTCAAATTAATTGTACTCGAAAACGAGTGTGAGATCGCAAATGAGTAAGGGGCTGTTTGTTTCAGCCTCTTAATGGTTCAGATGTCTGAATGGTTCAGCACTTAATGGTTCAGACTGTTTGTTTCAGCCTCTTAATGGTTCAGATGTCTGAATGATTAAGAGATTTGCCTCTGAATGGTTAAGTATTATACAAAGTCTGAATGGTTAAGACCTCTTATCTGAATTGATCAGACATTTGCCTCTGAATAGTTAAGCAATATACTAGCTCTTAATGGTTCAGACCTCTTACTGGTTCAGCACTTAATGATTCAGACCTCTTACTGGTTCAGCACTTACCCATTCAGAAGTTGCCAAACAGCCCCTAACACATAGATAATCATTGTAACGGCCGGTTCATCGTGAATCATGCAACATAAAATCAATATAATATGATGTTCTAAAATCTAAGTTGCATGATTCACGATTGAACGACTGTTGAATCATTGCAAAACTTTACAATGGCGATCTAGCTAGGTTCTCATAACTTACAATCCGACAGCCGGTTTTGAGTGAAAATAGTTCGAGCAGAAATAATGACAGGTGTAACGCTAAGATCAATCCATAAGAATAACTAGGTATCATATGGTGTAACAATTTACCTGCTTCTGCCGCTTGAATGTGTCAAAAGACTCAAAACCCAGTGTACATTTCCTTGGGCTTCCGCCTTGAGGATTACTCCAAAGCCTCTCCATCAAACTCATCCTGTGGCATCCTTTTGGCACGTCCGTCAGCTTCTCTGTTTTTTCTACCAATCTCTCCTCGCGAATTCAATTTTACAGTACGAGCAAAACGAACCGAACCTCTCGTTTTCTCATTGGGGCCCAAAGGAATTGCCAAGTTTATGCTCATCTAGCCTGCTGCTTTTGACCTTCATCTGAGGCTGACACAGAGACTTTCACATGCTTTCCCCGTTGAAAAAATCATCCTTCGACCTTCATTCTAGTGAAAAATTCTCCACCATTCTAATCCTCCACACTATCGTCCCAGTCAAAAATCCATGTTTCCATATTGTTAGTTATATTGGGAGAGCCAAAAGTTGAGGCCCTCTTGCAAATTGGAAAACTGGGTGTGAATTTCCCACACCAGTAGTTTTATTGCCAAAATCTTGATGGGGTACAACCAAATTATCCTTGAGGAAGCAATCCAAAGTCTTGTGTAGTGGCCTGTGATAGGTTGCCAAGATATTAGGAATCAATGAAGCTCAGTCCGACAAGGCCAAGCTCTTTCTCTTTGTTAACAGATCTGCTCCAGCTTGATGTGCTCATTTCCCTCAACTTAGGCAGAGAGTCTTCTCCCGACACAACTTCTAGCCCTTCCCTTTATCTCCCATGTTCAAAACTTCCTTCTCAAAAATGGAGGAAACTGCTATACATTTATTTTCTAAGCAGAATCTCCAAAAGATTGCCTGGGACAGTTTGGAATCATAAAACATGATATCTGATCGATGTGTACAAGCACTGCAAGCAGCCAGTCCAATTGTTCTCACTGCTGATGTAGGAAATGAATCTATGTGAATCCCTTTAAGGAGAACCTAATAAAAAACAAGCCAAGAGCACTCATCAATATTCAAGCTGAGTTATCAAATAAAGACGCTGCAGCAGACTCAACATGCAATAAGCTAACTCCATGAGAAAGTCCTACAAATCAACTAGTGTATAATCTATTGACACAAGAACGAGTGATGTATTCCTGCAAATGCTAGTACAAGTAAGAGATTTCTATCACATTGCATGGTCAAATAGTTTGTTTAAACAGCAAAACCTTGAAAGGGGAAGGACAACACAAGTCCATACTATTTTCAAATAGTTGCTGAACTGCATTTCATTCCAAACATACTCTAAATGGAACTGCATTTTGTTCTTGCTAGCCAAATCACATATGCATTTTGTAACTGATTCATCATCCATTCCTGCATTTCATTTTGTATGTTTCCTCACAACCAGTTTTAGGGATAACTCGAGTGGCGAATTCATTCAGTAAATGGGTCTTCACATTTTCCCTGGCTATCAATTACTAGGGTTTACGCACAAAGTTCACAATTCGAGGGGAGGGGGGGGGGGTCAAAATCACCATTGTAGGACAGAGATTAGTCCAGAAAAAAGGGACATCTACAATTACGCATCAATAGGCTAGTGATAATCAACACGCAGAAATTGCAACACAAAGACTCAATTGCCAAAGAACAATTAGCACACGAAAGGCGATTCAATCAATAGTTCTCGACTTACCGACATTAGAACACGATGAAGAGGGTGGGTGGGGGGGGGGGGGGGG